GCTAGGAAAGGAGTGGAATTGAAATCGTATGAAAGAAAAATGCTGGAATTAATGGCAAAAGTGACAATCACTGGAATAACTGATGTAGTAGAATTAGGAATATCTCAAGACATCCAACAGACGGTCTCACATTCAATGGAAATTGTAAATACAAATGAACTCCCCAAATTATCTGGCAAGTAACATTTTAATGAAAAATAATATGATCTTAGTAAAATGTTTATAGATTCATTACTTAATGATTCCAATATTGAAATATTGGAAGAATTTGAACCGCTAATGCAATCTTCCCCAACTGACGATGGTGATCCTGGTTTAGGAGACCAACCGGAACACACAGTTGCTGAACCACCTCCGTCTATTCAACCAAGAGTTCGTGCAGTAAAGAAAGGTATCTACTAACATGTTACAAAACGTAATTGTACATTTTTTGGCCTCTTCACCAATCCGTAGTCACTATAGGAATATATTTGTAACTGTGTAGATATTTGTCATTTCTCTTTTTATTGTAAATATTGGATATACGTTTAATTTAGTATTATCTTATATCAACAATGAATTACTGCTATATAAATTATCAACATAACTTATATTTCCAGGTATTCGTAAAGACTTAAAAAACTTATCAATGGTTGAAGCCTACAAAGAGGGCAACGATCATCAGGGTCAAGCATACAGTGACCCGGTGACCCAGTTAGTTTACTGACCCGGTGACCCAGTTGACCCAGTGATCCAGCTTGACCCGGTGACCCAGCTTGACCCGGTGACCCAGCTTGACCCGGTGACCCAGTTTGACCCGGTGACCCAGCTTGACCCGGTGACCCAGCTTTACTCAGTGACCCGTCTTGACCCGGTGGCCCAGTAATTAAATTATTGTTAGGTATCATCCAAAACAATTTCAAGTAACTTTTAATTTAAAAAAAAACTTCCTCAATAATATTCGGCAACAAGCACGTAGCCCAATTTCATTCAAGAGAACTAATACCTAAAAAATCAAATGCATTTGTTTATAGTTTGTAGTCAAGTAGTCAATGAAAGTATTTAGAGAAAAGATTTATTTGGATTAAGCTAACTAGTAGAAAAAAATTAAATGTGAATGAACACCTGTAAGCAAACTGGTAAGCCCTGAAGCAAAGAAATAACATTATTCTAATACAATTCGGGACATGGAAAGTTTTTTACGGCAGTATTAAAGCAAACATCACAGAAATGGCAGTTGTCAAGCAATCGAGTATTATTTTCAACAAACCAGCATTTCATTTATTTCATAATCTGTACACTTGAACCGAGGGCACTGACTTAACTGCGTTATTCGATCAAACTAGGTGACTGGGTCGAATTGGGTCCCCGGGTGAAATTGGGTCGCTGGGTCAAGTTGGGTCAAACTGGGTCACTGGGTCAAACTGGGTCTAACTGAAAAGAGTATGACGTGACCCAGTTTAATTTAGTGACCCAGTTGACCCAGTCCAACTCTGACGATCATACAAAACAAGGTATGGATGCAATCACCAAGAGCATACAAAATGTAGCAAATGCTATTAATTCGTTTACTGAAATGCATGAATTAGTTCATACCAAAAAATAATATTTTTTAAATTGGATTTGTTACAATAATAATTATTATACTAGTTTTGTTCTTTTTCGTATAATATTTGTTCTCTTTCTACTTATTTACTCAAATTAAATCGTTTTATTGAAACCTAGATTAGGTACCTAATTTAATTCATTTTGTACAGTTAGGTAAAAAAAAAACTAGTCTTCAACAGTACGAAACCTTCTTACATTTTTTTGAACACGAAGAAAATAAACCGGCCTTATTCTCTCCATTTGAAGACCATTTTGACGTCTGGCACAACGTATCTGAACTATTAAACAAAGATGGACCACCCAGAACACCATCACAGTGGAGAAAAGTATGTTCAACTACAAAGTTTTATTTGTGTCAAAGAATTTGTTTTCCTAATGTTGATACCAATCAAGAATCTATATTGTAAACGATAATTTGGTTTTTAGACGTTTATGGATTGGCAAAATAAAACTAAAAGGAAAGCCAGAGAGGATTTCATTCAAAGAAATTTGACAGGTGGAGGGATACCAGCTCCTATTATACTGACGGATTTACAACTGAAATTGCTGCAAATTTTACATAAAATAGTTATAGAAGGAATCAATGGTGTAATTGAATTGGGATTTCCATTCCCAAAGTGTAAGAAGCAAAATAAGAAAAATGTCAATCTAAATTTTGCAAAAAAAAAAACGTATAGGTACGATCAAACCAACAATAATGCAGAAAAAGTTAAAACCAATGTTTTTTTATCAATGTTCAAGTGAGTTTGAAAATATTGGTTGTGCAATAGCACAGTTAGAAATGTCGTTGGTCACTTTATATCAAACAATTTTGGAATATTAAAGACTTATTTTATTGATCAATAACATACATTTGTATGCTAACTTCTTCAAATGCCTATAAACATTTACAATAAAGTAGATTTATAAAAATGTGCAATTTTACTATCTACTACCTTATAGTTCTCTGCTCACAATATTAAAAATAATTTTCTATAATCCTCCTGCGTAAGTTCCTTGCTTCGTTTAATAAGTTGCCTTCAATTTCCAGATCTCCCAAATCATTCCTAACGTTTTGATTATTTTGCCCATCATTCCCGTCTGGTGCATACTGCATGTTCCCTTTTCTTGACAAACATCTAAATCGTGATTTCAATACTCCATTGGCTCGTTCAATCACATTTCTTGTACTTCTATGGGCAATGTTATATGCCGCTTCTTGTGGATCTAGGTTTCCCTTAATACCGGAGTCATTAACCATGGCTGCAGACGATATCCCGAATCCCCTATCAACCACGAAGATCTGTCGCCATCTTGGTAGTTCTGTTCAAGATTCCACTGTTGACTTTGTCCAAATAGCTGAGTCGTGTACAGAGCCAGAATCGCATATAATTTGGGTATTAATACTATAATATCCTTTTCCATTTCTAAAAACAATTCCAGGTTGGTGATTGTCGAGGAATGCTGGTGCTGTTAGAGCTATATGTGTGCAATCTATTGCACCTATGATGTCAGGAAATCCACCAGCATTAAGGAAATCTCTCTTTACTAAATTTTTTTCTTGCTGTGTTGACGGAAATTTGACATAATTGTTTAAATTGTTAACAATGGCTATACTCATTTCTTCAACGCATATACTTACAGATGACTGGCTCATGCACGTTAAAACGTTATCACCCACACTTTTTTGGTAATCTCCTTGGGCAAAAAAACTCACTGCGGCAAGCATTTTTTGAATATGAGGAATGGCAATTTGTGGTCTTTCAATTACTTTTAAAAATGGCAACAATTCTGTAAACAGATCATGGGCTGTTTGTCTAGAAAGACGATATATTCCTTTAAAATGACGTTCTGTTGTTTCGAAAGGATTTGAAGCATCTCTTAACATGCGTCTTTGTAAGCGAAATTCTGCCCTACAAGTATAAATTGTAATACCTATATTTATAATGAATGGCCATAATAGGTTAATTACCTTTCCTCTTCATCAATTGCTACTTCAACTAGTAGTACAATGTTTGGATCCATTTATGTTTTGAATTATTATGTGTATTATAAACAAGTCTTAACTATACTTATCAATGTTGTTGGATCTAACGTGAGCTTATTTCAAGGCGTTCCCTATCAATGGCAGTTAACAAGATATTGATAAAATAATCAGTATTGACAACTACCTGAATCACACAAGTTGCCTACATTGAGATTTTGAACAATTATTGATTAGTTGTCAATATTGTTGAGTGAACAAGCATCACCTGAATAAGGGTGTATGTGGTGACCAATGCTCATGACGAAAGTGGGTGGATAGAAAATTAACCCGCGGTACAACACAGCAAAGTTATATAGGTCTTGATTCGGTGTAGGAATATGAAGAAACATTGAGTCTAAACGGATTCTGAATTTTCTGTTTAAATATTGTTCTGCTGGTGTCTTTCCATTTAGTAACGGTGTCGCTCGATATCGGAATAATATTTTCATAATTTTTGTTTCCAATGGGATCCTTTCCGTTGACATTGATTTTAATTTGTTTTTGAGAGTTTGTACATTTCTCTCGGCCAGTCCGTTCGTAGCAGGATGTCCTGGTGCGATAAATTTTTGGAAAATAGCGTTATTCTTACAATACGTTCTGAACTCGTTACTCGTGAAAATTGTGGCATTGTCTGATACCATTTCTTTTGGATATCCATTTCGAGAGAAAATTCTGTTTAAAAGTTCCATGGTGTTTTCTGAATTAGGATGTTCTCGTAGGACTTCCATTTCGGCCCACCTTGACTTCGCATCTATGCATAAGAGGATGTAGACATGATCGATGGGTCCTGCGTAGTCGATATGTACTCTGTCCCAATTCTCTTGAGGTAGTTCCCAGCGATGGACTTCAGCTTTGGGTGGTGAATGGAGCCTTTTCTTGCATTCTTCACATGCTCGAACGATGTTTTCAATTTCTTTGTCGATGTTTTGCCAATAACAATAGCGTCGTGCCAGCTGTTTCATTTTGGTGCTCCCTAGGTGTGTTGAGTGTAAGTCGTTTAAAATATCAGCTTGCATTGTCTTCGGTATGACAATCCTATGGCTCCTGTATAAGACTCCGTCGTTTAAAAGGAATTCAGATTCGATGCGTTGAGTCTTCATTTGTTCGATAATTTTGCACATTTCGGAATCCCTTCCAGTCTCGTACTTTATACGCTCATATCCTATTTGGTCTGTCGAGATATTGAATACCTGTTCGTGGTTAACTTGATCGAGTTCTTCGTCAAATGCTGTTTCAATTTTTCCTTTGTCATCATGTAGTGGTGCTCGTGATAAACAATCAGCGTTGGTGTTATCGATGCCTTTCTTAAACTGTACTTTATAATCAAACGTTGATAAAAATGAAGCGTAGCGAATGAGGCGTGACGATGTGGTTTTTGATGCTTTTGATTTCGAGTTAAAAATCCGCACTAAAGGTTGATTGTCGGTTGAAAATGACTAACACCATAAACGATCGCCAATGCTTCTCGATCGAGCTGGGAATAATTCTGCTCGGCCCTGGTTAAGGATCGGGACGCAAATGCAATTGGACGTTCATCGTTGGCTGTAGAATGGGATAACACAGCTGCAATTCCATATGGACTGGCATCGGTGGTTAATAAAACTGGTTGCTCGGGGTCATACGGTACAACAACTCGGTCACTGGCAATTTCCATTTTCAAATTGCTGAATGCTTGGTTGCACTCTTGATTCCACAAGAACTGATTATCGTGTTGTAATAATTTTCGTAAAGGTGCAGTCATGCTCGATAGATTTGGGAGTAATCTTGCGTAATAAGTTATCATGCCGAGAAATCGCCGGACATCTGCAACACTTTTCGGATTAGGCATGTTCAATATGGCTTTTACCTTATCGGGTGACTTTGCAATGGTGTTTTTTCTTATGATGTATCCTAGATACTCGATTTCGTTCTGAAAAAAACTGCACTTTGCCTCGTTCAGGTGAAGATCGTTTTCTTGCAATTTGGTTAAGCATTTAATTAAATTGCTGTAGCATTCTTTGTAACAGTTACCATGCACAATTATGTCGTCAAAATATGAGGTTGTTTTTGGACAGTCCCGTAGAATCTGATCAATGACTCGGTTAAACTTAGCTGGAGCCGTTTTAATTCCGAAACTCAAACGATTTACATGATATGTCCCCTGGTGGGTAGACATAGTTTGTATTACACTGCTGTCTTTGTCTACACGTAAATGTAAATATGCCTTATAAAGGTCGAGTCTACAGAAGTAAGACGAATCCCGCAAACTGTTAAGGACTTCGTCTACGCGCTTAATGGGGTAGTTCACGTTCACTAAACTGTCATTTACGGCAACTTTATAATCGACACAAAGCCGCACTCCTCCTTGTGGTTTTTGTACCACCACAAGTGGTGAACCCCAGTCACTTACATCACATTTACTTATAATTCCGGCAGATTCTAACATTTCTAATTCGTGACTAACTTTATCGCGTAACGCATATGCAACACTCCGTTCTCGTGTGTACACAGGTTTGACATTATCGCGAAGCGCTAACTTAATCACTACATTCGGAACGCATCCCACTTTTTGTTCGAAGATATTGGGAAATTGTTCACGCACCGACTCAATTGAATTTATGTAATCACTATGGATTTGTGTTAATTTTTTACTGGTCTGTTTATCGATTTCCTGTAATTGAATGTTTAGATGGCGAATCCATTCGCGACCTACTAATGGATCATACCCCTCAGGCACTACGTATAGATCCTCTAATGTGGGATTTTGATAATTGTGGTATTGAACCATTACTTGTACTTTCCCATGTGGTTGAAAGGTTTGACGTGTGTAAGTACGAAATGTTAGGTTAGACGGTTTCAGTTTTTGCTTGCAGTTAAGTTTATCGAAAAGGTCTTTTGGAAGTAACGTGAATCCCGCTCCGGAGTCGACCTCAAATTGAATTGCTTGTCCTTCGACATTGATGAATGTGTAGTATTTACGGGTATCGTCTCCTTCGGATGAATATACATCTTCAATACGATTCACACTGAAATTATCAATGTTGTAGGTAGTATTATGTGCACTACTATCACGTTTTGATTTGATTAACGTTGAAATGCAAACATTCGCAACATGTCCTTGTTTGCCACAACCGGTACACTTTAAGTTTGTTTGTTGTACACGACAGTCTTTTGACGTATGGTTGTCACGACCACAGAATAAGCACATATTGTCAATTCCTAACTCACGGTAGTTTACCCGGCCTCGTGAAGAATTACGATTTTGGTGTGACTGTTGTCGATAGTTGCGTGATGATGACCTATGACGATTATGATCCGGCTTTCGATTGTGCTTAGAATTTTGGCTCTGACGTTTCGTAAATTGTCCTTCTCTGCTCGGAATCACACTATTTATTGATGTATTTGTTGATGGAGTTGAAGTTTTCGCTAAATTTTGACTATCAGTTCGAGCTGCTTCTAAAGCTATTGCCTTTTTCACGATTTCGTTAAATTCTGTGAGGTTTGACTGGAGTAACTGCTCGGTGATCCAGGTATCTTTCAACCCTCGAATAAACTGCGCTCTTAAAAATTGTTCCGCTGTTGAAACCTCTTGAGTACATTGACACTTTGCCAGGAAGTTGCATGCCCCTAAATTTTTCTTCAGTTCAGTAACGTATTCACTGATGCTCTGTTTTCCAGACTGGTAAGTTGATAAAAAATAGTGTTGGGCCACGAGCATGTTCCGCTCAGGTGACAAATGTTTCTCTAAATGGGTAATCAGCTCATCGTATGATAGTTCGGATGGCTTTTGTGGCGCTACTAAGGCATTTATTGTCTGGTAGTGTGTCGCTCCAATAGACCCTAGAAGTAGGCAAGCGGACTTGGTCTTGTTATCAAACACTTCCTTCATGCGCAAGTAATTTTCGAATCGTTCCCTGTATAACTTGAAGTCTTCCTTCTTGGCGTCATACTGCTCGAATGGGGGGATGTTTGGATTTACTGACGGTGTTGTTAACGGCGTAGCTCTAGTCTGGTCAATTTGTAGAAATGCAGCAGCAACGGCGGCAGTAATTTGCGCTAGTTGTTCTGGTGAAATTGCGGCCATTTTTTTTATAATTCTAACGGCAATGTGGACCTATTCAATTCGTCTGCTCTTTTTACTTCTCTCGTCGCCAATTTCACTGTGGTGACCAATGCTCATGACGAAAGTGGGTGGATAGAAAATTAACCCGCGGTACAACACAGCAAAGTTATATATTTTTATTCACATTACAAATCTAACATGTCACTGAACGTACAAAAAAAACTAACAGGAACCGTCAGTTGGTACGCTTGTTTTTTTCTCCAGTGGAGACCTCTTAATATTCACTACAGTGTATGAGTTGCTGTTCATAGTCACACAAGTTGCGCGTTTTGGGAATGTGAACCGCGCACACCTCATAGAATGATGTGTTTTTTTAAAATCGAACATAGGGAAATTACATTGCATGCAAACTCCTATGTTCGCATTTAAAAAAAAACTCACTGTATATGATAACTTGAATACGTGTCTATAAACGGATTGAAATATTTATATTTATATTTTAATTTTAAAAAATGAAACTTGCTTTTTTAAAGTTTTTAAGTGACATAATATTTGGTCAATTCTCAATAATACATTGTCGAAACAGATACAGGGAATTCCCATGCAAAATTAAATCTTCGTAAATATTGGCATTTCTAACATCAAATCATACATCAAAATTAAGGACCACCGACATTCCTTGTGAATTTTTGAATTCAAGAGTAAGTCAAGGAAAAACTGTTTGTGTTCCTCAACCGTACAAAAATTTTCGCTCGTTAACAAAAATCGACACAACGTTAATTTCGTCCGAATTCCTTTCTTCCAAAAAATATTTTTAAATTCCTCCTGGAACATAATTAAGCACTGATTCACTAATTTAAAAATATGCTGTGATGGTGAAAACAGCCCTTTTGATGTGTCCGCTTTTTCGTATAGTTTGTTTATGAAGTTTGTCATTTAATATTTCTTCTTTGGCGGAAAACTTTTGTATACATGTCACAATTGAACTTTTGAATAGTTTGTTACAAATATATCCAGCAAAATAATTAATTGCACCATCTTCAACTGTGATCGGTCTATCTATTTCTGCACTTGGGCGATTTTCAATTTCTGAGGGAAAGTCTTCGTTTGGAAGAACGTTGCTGTTTGATGACGAGGTACTTTCTTCTTCATTAGAAATACTTGAATGCGAAGTAAAATCAGACGAGCATGAAGTATTTAGAAAATTGTCTTTCTTCATCTACTTGGCAGTTTGAGTATTCAGAGGGCAAAATAGAATTAATAACAGTTAATCTGAATATGCTTCTAAATACTCTGCATGTCGGATTCCTATTGCAACCGCCTTTCCTACGAACTGCGGAGAAATAGTTTTCCAAGACGTCCACAACCGATTGGCCAGTATAAAATGAAAATCACTTTTTACATTCAGCATGTAAAAACATCACCCAGTTAATCGTTTGTATTAGCCCGGAAAAGCAAGGCAGTCAATTTACCTCCAACACATATTTTAACTAAACTTTTAACTAATTGTTTACATGCCTTTAATGTTTTTAATACTTTCACGTTTTCGTCACAGACGGCACTTCGATAAGGGTTTTTGTCATATTTAAATTTACTGTTTAGGGCGTCAACAGTGTTATTAATTAAATATATGAAATTAGCAGTATCAATCGCTGTTTCGCTTGTCAGTTGATCGGTCTGGCAGCAAGTTTTTATTGCAGCCGAGACGGTATAACAGAAAATTTGAAGGGCGAGCTTACAAGCTTTGCTCACATTATCCAAGTTATAAGTCTCCACAATATCAGAAAATTTTATGATTTTATCGCCGAATTGAAAATGTCCTAATAAATTATTTCGACGATTTTTGAAAATGTGTGCTACATCGTAAATAAAAATTATTTTGTCCGTATTTACGGTGATGTAAGGTTTTTCTTCGGTTACTCCTAAAATCTTGAGAACAGCAACGTTTGTAGTTGCCTGGTCACAAACGTTGCCCTCACAACTAACCCGCATTTTTTAATCTCGCCGATAACATGAGTGATCATGATGGTCAATTCATCCTTTTTGGTGTTACTTTTAGATAGGTAGTAGGCCAATGGTAGTTTCCACTTGCAGAAAAGGCCTCTTATCATAAATACCAACGTATTTCTTGCGATTGCTTGCGTCCTCTCCAAATGACCCATGTCGTCAAATCCTTCATTAAAATCGAAAGGTTTCGAATATTCAAGCTTTTCCATAATGTCCATTTCATCAAAAGCTAAAACACACTGTTTATCGATAGCTTCCATACTTTGGACTTTTGGTTGAAGGTGTCGTGTAAATTTATTGTCGATGCCAGGGAAAAGTTTTGTCTCACAAATCCATTTTCTTATGGTAGATAGGCAGGAAGAATAAATCCATTTCGTATAAACATTCTATATGCGGATTATTTCGGACTAGCGTGTATTCGGATTGTCGGGGTTGTACTGTATGCAATAAAAGGATACGAGGGATACATTTCTAATGGATACAGTGTTTATTTACCATTAACATGCTACGTGTCGACTGTGGAGTTCCTCAAGGAAGTATTCTGGGCCCATTGTTGTTCAATATATATGTTAGTGACTTACATCGTTTTCTCCAACATGTTTATGTTCACCTCTACGCTGATGATATACAGCTATTAATAAATGCCAGTGTTGAAACTATTAATCAACGTATAGATGATTTGAACGAAGACCTAGACATTATCACCAAGTGGGCAACTGCAAACCACCCTAAGCTTAACCCCTGTAAAACGGTATTAATGCCGCTAGGTACTACAGGACAAATTAAAAAATTTTTCTCCGAAGTAACACATACAGTAGAGGTGCCTGGAACTAAAGTTGAATATGATACATCCATGAAGATCTTAGGTATGGTTTTAGATCAAAACTTGAGCTGGGAACTGCATGTGAACTATATACTAAATAAATCATACTATAAATTAAAAAAACTTATATAGATCTAAAGACGCGCTATCAAAGGAAATTAAACTAAAATTAATAAAACAACTAATATTACCTTTACTGAGCTACGGCGATGTGTGTTATCATGGACTAAATAAAAGCCTATCCATTAAAATACAAAAAGTCCAAAATTATTGTGTCCGTTATGTCTGCAACATACGTAAATATGATCGTATAACACCAGCACTTGTTGATCTGAATATGCTTAATATGGAAAAGATGCGCTTATTTAACATCCTGTGCTTTTTACATAAATTGATCATTGTGAATAAAAAACCAATTTACTTAAGTGAACAATTTAACATTCTTCAAAGTTTTCATACATATGGTGTACTCGTACTAACAATCTTTGTATACCCAAAGTTAACACAAAAGTGGGATACAGATCGTTTTATGTGCAGGCGGCAAAACTATGGAACAATTTACCAGTGAGTATACAATTGATTGGAGAGACTTTTACTCGAGTGTGCTTAAATATCATAAAAAATGATGTCACAAATTTTTGATAGATTCTTTACTACTCTTTCATTCTTCTTTTATTGTTGGTTTTGATTTCTTCTATCGCTATATTATTGTATTTTTTGGTGTAGAATGCCACTTATTGGCCCGTATGAATAAAAGTAAGCAAATGCTTATACTTGCAAAATTCAAAGTAAAAATGCTCGTAAGTGCTCCTTCGCACTGGGCGACGTAGCAGCGCTTCTAAGCAGGACAGGACGCAGTGCAGCGCTGCTAAATCATGCTAAACAGACCAGTATGAAAGGGCAGTTACGAGTATTTACTTTGAATTTTGTAAGTATAAGCATTTGCTTACTTTTATTCATACGGGCCATTGTTATGTAAGCTTGTAGAGGGGGGGATTGATGGCTGCAAAGCTTTTCCTACCCCTTAATAAAGAAATATTATTATTATTATTATTATTATTGAAAAAAAAATAGATATAACAAAAACATATCTCAAATTAAACTTTCTACCAAAAAGTAAATAAATAGAAGATTCAACGCTTACTATAAAGTTATTGACTAATGCAGAATTGAATGTTTGTTACATATTTAGGCCGGCGATTTTCCATCAAACGCTTTAATCTTCAACCCTAATCAAACGCATTTATTTAGATTTACAAAGTATAAAGCAAAATAATCCAGGAATATTGAAATAAAAAGGTTATTACGCTATATTGCGAAATGGGGTATACATGTCATCGATCGTAAACCTGGTCTTCCATACGTTTTTAATTGAAGTAAAGTTTAATGGAAAAGTTTGCGATATGATGAACTTTTCAGTGTAAATCGTGTTGTATTGTTGTACTTTTCCGCATTTCGTGCACAATATAGAAACTGGCAAACTAGTTATGCACGTGCACAATGATTCATTTCCTAAAATCTGTCATATCTAGGTGGAAGCACTGAAACTCCTGTGGACGTTGAAGATACAAAAAAGTAAAACAAAAACACCAATAAACCACAATAATATATTAATGTTTCGAAGCTCTGATTGGGCTAACGAGCTTCCGTCATAATTATTCGTTAGGAAGCGTTTGTTTTTGAAACTGATTTACAATAAGATTTTGCCTATTTTCCCAAAGTTTTGATTCGTTACGTGGATGATTTTCTTTGTATCAGTTATATATAAATCCTGACGTCCATACTTCGTATTTTTTTGGCAGCTGTGGGCGTGCATCAAGAGTGAACCCACACATTGTCTGGTTCAGGTGTCTGGAGTTATAAACTACCAAAGGCAACGAATCAGTTATGACATGGACGTAGGAACGGACAGAGTGGGCGCAAGACGCTAACTTTGTTAGTTATAGAATGCGCTAAAACTTCACTTCAAACACACTTGTTGCTTACTTTTACTTACATACCTACCTTTAATTAACTTATTCCAATCTCTTCTATTTTTCTGTCAATTTCACTAGAGGACAACCAACCTTTGTAACGTTGAAATCATGTGCGACTCCAGTGAGAATATTAACACGTTTTTATTTTATTTTATTTTTATATATCATATACATCAGATGTACGAATCGATTTAGTTGTCCGTTAGTTCAGAACA